AGGGACACATCCCTTTGAGCACACCCTGCTCAGGGTGAAGGATCATCTTATCCCATCTCTGCTGGGGCTCCTCCTGCCTCCGCAGCGCCAGCCCTGCTGCCCTGTGCCCTCACCTCTCAGGGGTGACAGCCGGAACCCAGCCTGGCCAGCACTGTCCCGCTCCTCACGGGAGAGGTTGCGCACACACACACAGGCACCCCACAGCTCCTCACACCCACCTCATGGTGCCTGCCCTCACCACACACCCACACACTCCCCAGGTGTCTCTGGGCACCTCTCTGCTATCCTGGAAGGGCAACTTGTGGCACAGGGATGCTGAGCTCACATGCCACCATGCGTCCTGGGTCAAGCATTGCCCCAAGGACGCCTGGTCCCTTGCTCACAGCACTGAAACCAACCCACCTACCACTGCAGCTCCACATTTCTTCTTGCCCTCTCCTCCCCCAGCTCTAGAGAGACCACCTGCATCCAGCCTCACCAGAAGGATGCTGAAAAGACAAACACACACACACAAGCACACACACACAGGCTAGCCCCAAGGCACTACAGCACACCCAAAGAGGACAACCTTCCCTGTCCCCATACTGATGACAGAACACCACCACCGTGCCCTTGCTCATGAGCTGTGCGGTCCAGTGAGGCCTGTGCTCCCTGTGTACTGGTCCTGGGACTGGTGCAGCTACCGCAGCTGCTCGCTGCTCCACCGCTCGCCAGCTACCACCTTACGGCCAGAAACTCCCCTGGTCACCAAGGCACCTGGGACTGCTGGGCACAACACAAACCCACGCAGCCTTTTCTCTTCCCATCATGCTGCCATTGGTGCACTCTTGTGCGATACCTGCAGAAACTCAGCTCCTCTCCACTCCTCCCACCTGCATTAAGCGTCCCAGCCTTAAAGACCACAATAGCTAGGGTGACACTTTCCATGGCAAGTTTCCTCATTTCTCATCCTTTCACCTCACTCTGTAAGACTGAGAGACTGTCCCTGAGGAGGTCCTAGAGCTCCCTAATTCTGCTTCATCCCACCATCTCCTTCCACAGTCCCTTCATTCCCAGTGATGCCCAATCTGGTAGTCCCTGGGCTCAGGACTCTCCTGTGCTCCATGCAGAGAGACGCCCTGAAGGCCCCTCGGTGCCCCGAGCTGTCCCAAGACCCTGCACAGGAGGCCCTGAAAGTGATCCGCTGCCTACAAGGTCAGCCACTCGCTTTCTTGGCACATGGCATCTTCCCTCCTTTGAGAACTGAGCTAGGTGTGATCCACATGCCTGGTCAGGCTCCCTTCACGATGCCCTGACTGGGCCGCCCAGCTCACTGGCCACACTGGGGTTCGGCTCCATTCAGCACTCCTCTTCCCATCACATCTTCCACTGGCTTGCACCTGTTTCACTAATGCACCATTTCATCACAAAAAACACAATTCCAGGCAAGTAAGTTCATTCCTCTCCGGTTCTGCAGACAGCCACAGGTGTTCCCAGCTCCTGGAAGGACCCTGGAACCTACCACGGGCTATCCACGTCCTCCTGTACGGCCCATTCAAGCTGCTCTGATATTTTACTGCTTGGCAAGACACCATGCACTACCTCTAATTTGCTCCACTCAAACACAGGGGAATGCAGGAAATATCTGCCACTTTGCCTCACTTTTTACATCAGGGCCTCTCCCAGTGGGATCGCACGTTTTATCTTCGTGCTACACAGTGCCTGTCCCACCAAACTGCCTCTCTCACGCTTTCTGAGCAAAGTTCAAGCAGACAATAGGAGTTCCTAGCCCAGAACTCTAGGATAGCCTCAGCTTTGTGACGCCTTCCCTATGGCAGCCAACAAGCGACCTCTTCCTCTCTCTTGGCTTTGGTTGCGTAGCTGTCTTTGACATTCCTCTGCTCCCTTGTGGCAACTCTCAAGACAGGTTTGCAGATTTGCACTGCTCTACACCCGCTGGGTAGGATGTCCTCACGCACATGTCAGCACAGGTATCGGTGTACAAACACCACCCAACCACAGCAGAGCCTGACCTAGCCCTGGGCAGAACAGCCTTCATTGATGCTTCTTCCCCGGACAAGGCTTCACCAGACAGGCTGGACTGTGATGTGACCACTGCAGGTGTTCCTCAGGAGCCTTGGGGCACACTCAGGAGTACTTCCTAGCATGGGACGCCTCACACCCTGCAACAAACAGCCCAGCAGCAAAACACAGATTTGGGCCCACAGTGCCAAGACAGCCAAGGCCATGAGCCCCGTCTCCAACCAGATCTGACCTGCCGAAGCACTTCCACATACCCGTGACAGACACATGTGAGGGCGTTGCAAAAGGCATGGATTACATGACCAGTTCACCCTTCCCCATTGCCACACCGTAACCCCAGGCATTTCCTGGTACCTTTGGCGGAGGCATTGTTCTGCGAGGATGATGAGGGTCTCCTCTGTGTGAGGAAAACACCGGGTGCCATCGGCTGCGATCCCCTGTTAGGCTGGGCGACCCCAAAGGTGCTGGCCCCTGCGGTGTACTCGTGATCTGTGAGGCTGCTGGCATGTGACTCCAGCTTCGGCTCTGGCGAGCTGCCTTCCTGAGCCGGTTTGTTCGCGTTGTTGGTTGACACCTTCTTTTTGGTATTTTTTTTCTTCTTGCCTTTCTGTTCCTCCTTTAAAATGACAAACATGAAGCTCAGATTAATCCCCAGAAGACTTTAGCTACGGCAAGGGCCAGCGGCGTTGCTTAGGGTCCTGATACAATGAAAACCCACGAAGTTTGCCATGTACAAACTGCTCGGGGTCTGTTCCGATACCATCTCTCTCACAGCTCTGCTGCACATACCCGTCTGCCTTTCTTGCATCTACATATGTGCTTTGTGCAGAGCCTCCTTGTTTGGTAACTCTGTGTACACTGCGGCGAGTGGGAGCCAGCCAGGACCAAAATGACCCTGCCTTGGGAGACCAGTGTGGTTTTGCATGAATAAACCTTTCGATGTTCCACAAAAACTGGCACCTCCTATCTTCTGGTATCTTCATACACTTTCACAACAGCACGGAGGGTATTAAACATCCCACTGATTCACAGACTCTGCTTCCTGCTAGGACACACACATTGCCTCTCGACCTGTAACTGCACTTACACATACATACCACAAGAACGCTGGTCTGTCACCATCCTGTTGCCCTTGCCTACTTTCAGTCTGCTTCTTGATGAAACCCTGCTACCATTCTTAGAGCTCTTCCACTCAACCGTACACATCACAGAAGCCCAGTGCCACCAAACCCTGCATCTCCAGCATCTTGCCAAGGTGTCTCACCAACCTTGCTCCAGCAGACCTTGCCACCTTCACGCCTCACAGTGTCACATTTGTGGGGCCTATGCACATTAGGCGCTTAGCATCTATCTGACCTTCTCAGAGATCGGACACTTATCAACATCCAAAGTGCCTCAACAGCTTTGCTAAACTGACCCATAGATACCCACGCTTCACCAAATCTTTGGACGTAAATCCCTATGCTTCCCAGCAGCTGGTTTCCACAGACAAGGCAATCACACCAGTCAGACCCTCAAGTACACATCGACATGAGGTTCACGCACACTCCTTTTGGGCAGCCTCCTTCTGTCTTAGCCCGGTAGCCATGCTCACTCGCTTATAAGTCTCTACACTTCCGATACATTGCCTGCTCTGTGCTGCGGCGCTGTCAGATACGCTGCGACACTATCGGACCTTCATCCCATTTATTTCCCCCCAGACTGCTGAGCCTTGTGTCACTGGCATGAAGAACCACTGAGGAGGACTGGCACTGCGCTGCTACCTGGGCATGACTCTGCTGCTGGGGGAGAGGGCTCTCCTTTCCTGACAGCTACGACTTCTCAAGCAACCTCACCTGCTGTGACAACTTCGCTGCAGCGGCGGCAAGTCCAGTTTCAATGGAGGCGACTCTCGTGCCCTCTCGCACCGGTCTGTCTTGTCGAGGCACCGAGGGGCCAACCCGTGCTACAAGGAAAGCAGATGCAGGTGAGACGTGCAGAATGTGCCTGTCTGAGCACCGTAACAACACACCGGGCAGTGAGGCTCTGCCCCCCTGAGCAGGGAGGGCCAGGGATGCCACAGCCTCTGCCCTTCCTTCCCTGGGATGCGTGTGAAGGCAGGAGGTGCTGACAGCCTCCAGTCACGGCAGCCTGGGGTGAAGTTGCCAATAAAGATGGAACACAGCTGAGCAACTTCACTGGCAGCTGCAGCTACTTGAAGCCAAAGCCATGGGAGGTTTTTGCCTACATTACAGACATGAGCGACTCCGGAATTATTTCCAAATGGACAGTGCTCACCGCCCCATCAGCTGGGGGTGGGCGTGCAGTGCCACAAGCTGATGAGACACGGGCTGCTTGTCACACGCGCAGCAAACCACAGAGACTCCCCTGTTAGTGGGCTGCATCAAAGGGGTCTAAGGACACCCTGGCCTGTCACTGCCTCTGGAGAGCTGCAACGAAACCACCCACCCAGACCACCAGTTTTGGCTGACCCTGGAGGAGACCATTCCCGCGTTCTCATTTCTCTTTACACAGCCAACACCTAAAAGCCATGCTACTTGGCTGTCTGTTACTCCACTGCTAAGGTGGCCACCAATTGTTCCATCACCAAGAGTGTGAAGAAAAATAAACCAACAACCCACCCAGGAATGATGTCTTCCTGCCATTTAATTGACAGAGGAAGGCTAACACTGTGCGGCATGAGTCCCAGGGCATGATATCACCCTAATGCTGAACTGGAAAGGTTTAATCCTTTACGTGCTAAAGAAATGGCTAGTTGTGGTCTTACAATTTCCACAGTCCTTGAAAAATGGTGGGTTTTTTAGGGACCTGCATGACTTAGCCTGAGTCTGGGCAGCACAGACCATATGGACTTACCCGTTGGACTGTAAGGGGCATCATCCGAACTTTTCCTCTTCTTTGATCGGGATTTGAATACTGGATTATCTTCATCTGATTCGAGAGAAGGGTAAACTACAGTAGGAAAGAAAGACAATAGTTTCAGTGTAGGACACAGCTCTAGCCTGCATGGAGGGCCACTCGCTCTGTACAGGTATGGTGACCACAGGCATCCCAGCTATAATAGCAACGTCCCCCAGAGGCACCACTGAGTGAAACAGCTCAACGCTCAGGGGGCTTTCTCCTGCTCTCATCCACACTCTACACTTAGGAGCTGCCATCATTAAACTGTGACCGGCTACCCTTAGGTTACACAGTGAAACTTCTCAGGAAAAATTTGTCTTCGTCTTGTCCATGGAGCGGCAGCACAGCTAAGAGAGATACAAACAGGTTTCCTTATCCCAAGCTACACTGGTACTGGAGACACGTCAGCCAACCGCTTCATTCAGCACCACACCTTCCTGGCCCCTATGACTCCTGCACAGTCAGGCAGAGAGAAATTAGAGTGCTGTTCACACCGACCTTGAAAACCGCCTTCATTGGCTTTGGGATTATCCAAAAGATGAACATGAACCCTTCTACCAAAGCACACTTCACACGCCTCTGGGATAAACGCCAACTTATCTGACTAAATTCTGTCCCAGCCTTTGCAAGGAGTTTCTGTTGTTGGTTTTTTTTCACGTGCGTTTGATTTTCTTGCCAGTTGCCATTTGTTACATCACTGGTGTATGGCATTACTGTGGCATTTGGTCACTGACACTGGTGATCAGATGCAGCACAGACAGAGCCTCTGGAAACTTGCTCATAACAAAGACCCTCCATTCACTGGCTGCACAGACACATAATGAGCAAATCCACCCCTGGGTAGAGTGGAGCCTTGTTCGTGCATGGCAACTGTCTGTAACCCACAGCCTTGACCCAACAGCTCCATGCAGCTGCCCTTTCCCAAAGCACCTTCCAGCACTACCGCTGCCTCCCAGCGCACGCAATGCACCCTTAACGGCTGGGCAACCTTCTTCTGCAACGTGTCACAGCATCTCCGTTCTGCCTTGGCACCCCTGTTAATAACGTGAAAATACACACTCTGCTTTTCCAGTCGTAACAAATGATTTCTGATGGCCACGCTTGCCAGGGAGACTTAAACACACACCTAGACTCTCCTGTTACGCAGTATAAACCTCTACTGACTTCTTGCCCTCTTTGCGACTTCAGGCTTTCCAGTCTCCATCAGCCTTCACATGATTACTTTTCTTCATTTCCTCACTACTTATAATCAAAAATGCTCCTGCAGATTATTACGGCAGAACTGATGTAACTGGTGCAAACTGGCTTTGTGTCCTTTTCTCCTTCAGATACTTGCGTTCTCCACCAACACTCAAAATACCACGGGATCCCTTTTCCACATACAAATTCAACTTCTCACTCATCTTAGCTAGGTATTTTATTGCTGTTGCACAGATAAGAACACTTCTGTCATAGGTACCAGTACGTGACACACGTTTGTGGGACAGTTTCCTGTTTCTTGGCAAACTGCTGCAGTTTCAGTGGTCTTCTGTGCCTTTCAACATCTTTTGATTGTGACATGCCTCAAATACAGCCTACCTGGATGGCCATATCACCACCAGCTGTGTGGTCAGTCTACCTATCACACAGTGTTTGCTTAATTTTCCTCTGCAGACCTCTTGTTATTTGCACTCCTCCTTACCGAAATACCCAGTTGCTTTCAACGTGACAGAAAGCGAGCAAGCCTCTCATGAGAAATGTGGGGGTTATTTGCAAACATGCACAAATACATACATGCACAGACAGGCACATACACAGACTGCTTTGTTTGTACCTACCGTAATCGGAATCTTTAAAACAGGCATCTAAGTGGTCCTGATCTTCATCGTAATCTTCGATGTCAATACTGTTCTTTGTGCTTTTCTTTAGTAACCGCTTGCCAGCATTTTTGTTGCTGCCACCACCCGTTTTTTTAGAGTTTTGTGTGGAGATGGAGTTATTCTTCGCCTGATTGGTACCCCACGACGTCTGGAGGCAGGACTCTGATGACTGGAGGTTTGCCATCGAGAGCATGCCCTGGATGGCCTCTTGCGTGCTGGGGGAGGCAGGTGGCTGACTGCAGGGAAACATTGAGAAATACAAGAGCTGTTAGAGATTCCAGAAAAACACCAAGCCCTCACAAACGGTTGACTCCTTTCACTGCACAGTGTTGCTAGAAGAGATTTCCCGATTACTGCCCTGTGAGCAGCTGGGCATGCCAGGAGTGACACTGGTTATTTTTACACTAACAGCAATATCACAGACAGCACATGAGATTTGGGGTTGCTGCCCAAGAAGTCACGGAGCTGTGCGCCATGGGGCTGGGCGTGTGATGGGCTTTTGTCGCTGGTGGGGAAGGACAGGGGTCAGGTAACTTTTCAAAGCCCTTAACAGTGTTCCCAACAATGTGGTGTCTCTACTATCAACACTGAGGGCAGCGTTGGAATCAGCACTGGAGGGGGATGTCATTGCGGGCTGTCTGTGACATACTGCCAAGCAAGTTGTTACAGTTTGAGAAGACCCACAACAGTGTATTGTCATTTAGACAGTTATTCTATCCCCCAATGACCCCTCCCCACACAGGAAGGGGAATCAGGAAAAAACAAGGAAACCTGGGGATTGAAATATAAGCAGATTTAATAGAATAAGACTAGATAATTAACATCAATAGCACTAAAGTACCAATATTGATCCTGATACCAATATAAAATACACCAGGATTATCCTCAGCCCATTCTATCCGTAGAAGCCGTGCGCTCCCAGCAGTGACAGCCAATGTGGGACACTGTGAGCGCTGTGGCTTCAGGAGGAAGGGAAGGGCTCAGGGCTCCGGCATCAGGGAAAGGAGTTCTCAGGATCACAGCCATTAAGGGGGACAAAGCACTTCTCAGCAAACTCTCTAATTTCTATGGAATGTGCCGTTCATGGTATGAAATAACCCTGTTGGCCAGCTTGGGTCAAGTGCTCAGGTCTCGCTCCTCCTCATCCCCGCACCTAGTGAGCTTGAAAACACCGAGACCTTGAAACCCGCACACCATAGCTGCTACAGAGTAAATATTTTCACAAATTCAGACACTGGAGTCTTCTAAAAGGGCAGTTTTCCCAGGCATTACAAGAGAAGTTAGTCCTGTGCCACTCAAACCAGGACAACAAGTATAGGAAGAATCTAAACAACTGGAAGGAAGCTCCTGATCACAGGTGACAGTTCTCACTGGGGACTGTCACCGCTCCAGGATCTGCTGGAAGAGCAGCATGGTAGGGCACAAGCAATTCAAGAGATTTCTGCAGTGCATTGGGAGGGTTTCCTGATGTGGATGTGGGATGGATGGATTATGGGAGATGCTGCAGAGATACGGACTGGAAGGGTGGACTACAGGGTGTGTGGAAACCTTGATTTCATTGAACTTGCTTTTTGGCAGTTTATTGCCAGTTTTCAACAGGTACTGTGCATCTGCTACAGGAAAGAAAAACATTCCTACGGAAGAAGCTGAGGTCCTGGCTGGCACGTACGCTTAGCGAGGTGGGAAAGCACACTCCCCACAATACAGAAGAACGATAATGTCATCAGAGAACACCAGACATTAATTCTGCAACAGGCAGAACACATCATCAAGTATTTCCAGAACTTTGGAGTTTGGGCAAATAGTGAAATGCAAAAAAAAAACTTGCTGTGGTAATGATTTTTTTTACAGTTATGCAATAGAAGCCACTAACACACAGCATTCCCCACGTAAATTAGCAGTACCACATCACTTACTCTTATTTGATGTTAATTTAATCCACTTTAAACAATTACAGGACTCCGGATACAGTAACGTACAAGACATAATGACAGTTTCTGGACACTAATTGCATTTATAAATAATCCTGAAAATGAGTTAAGACTGGTGTTAGCAGCTAGCAACTCAACGAATAGAAAAACATCAAAAAACTTATTTAGGGAAGAGATATTTTAATCCCTCATTACCATGCCAGATGCCTTCTCCCCGTCAAAGGCATATTTTGCACCATCTATAAGAAATTAACATATTTTCTCTCATTTTTTTCCCCCCAATAGTTTTTGCAAACACTGGACTCTCAAAACACTGCAAACAGACCATCAAACGCTGACCGCTAAATGGGCAAACTGGAGAGGAACTGCCTTAAGCAACACAAGCTTCAACAAATAAATTCTGGAAAATGATCAAAACCAGTGGTTCTGAGTCAAACCACAACCTGAATGTGTGGGTGAAACGTCTCAAAGAGACAGAGCTGCACACGGGGCAAAGTGTTTCTCATCAGGGCACGTGCTTGTGTGGACTTCCATGAGAGGTATTTCACCTTTCCAAGCCAAAAAAAAAAAAAATCAAGAAGAATCGGGAAGCAATTTTTAAGCTCTGGAAGGTCATATCCCCTTTCTGTAGCTTCAGCAATGATTTAAAAAACAACGTATTTATGAAAGTAAACTGTCCATGAGTTACAACTATGATTTAAAAAACATGTAAAATGAGAGCGGGAGCGGGAGCAAAGCAGCAGAGTGTTTCTGCCCCCGAGGTCCCCGCACAGCAGCTGGCTGGTGAGAGCCTTTCCAACACCCAGCGGGGTGACAGCACAGCCCCGGCCGCTGCTCGGCGAACCCCGCAGCCCCGCTTTCCTCTCCTCAAGCTGAAACAACAAATGACGCTGTGGATGGAGAGAAAAGGCCACTTTAACAAACTGCCTGGGAGCACTCTGTGCCCTTTGCAGTGGACTGCACTTCAGCATCCCTTTTCAGGATTTTATTGTTTCCTTTTGTTCTCGTAAAGACAAGGACACATGATTGAGAGATTAGTTTATGGCAATAACCATTTGCTGCCTTGGAAGCATCCGGTCATCTTCAGCTGCACACAGGGACTGAAAGAGGTCCACACTGGAAACTAGCAGCTTCTCCTGCAACAGCCAGCACCACACGGCAAACCTTGGTGCAGCCCCAGTGCTGTCCACGGGCAAAAGAATCACTCAGATGGCCAAAAAGGCAGGGCCAAAGCAGCATGGTGGCCTCCTGAATGACACACCAGGCTGGGCTGTGGAGGACCAGTCTGAGGTCTGCCAGGCCTGCATCCCATCCACAGCCGGTACAGAGCCCGCTGGGCCAAGTTTGCACCCGTGACGAGCAGCCTGGGCTACCTGCTAACGAGCCCCATGCCTCGTCATCACCAGCAACTGCCTTTCTACTGCTGCTCCCGAGAGTTGAAACTGCCGGCACGTTTTCACATTATTACCAGAGAGAAGTGCCATAACAGAAAGGAAAATTTGCTGTTAAAACTCATCCCAAATAAAATCTCCCCCAGGGCTGACCAGCCTGCAGCGCTGGTCGGGACAGCGTGACGAGGAGCAGGGAAGGGCAACTCATCTCAGTGGGAACCCGAGGAAGACGATGTTGGTCTGTATGACACAGATGGCTTTGCGCCCTACACGCCGTGCTCTCTCCACCTGGAATATTGCATCCAGCTCTGGAGCCCTCAACGTAAGAAGGACATGGACCTGTTGGAGTGGGTCCAGAGGAGACCACGAAGATGCTGCAAGGGCTGGAGCCCCTCTGCTGTGAGGACAGACTGGGAGAGTTGGGGTTGTTCAGCCTGGAGAAGAAAAGGCTCCAGGAGATCTTACTGCAGCCTTCCAGTGACTAAAGGGGCTCCAGGAGAGCTGGGGAGGGACTTTTTACAAGGGCATGGAATAATAGGATGAGGGGGAATGGCTTCAGACTGGAAAAGGGGAGATTTAGATTAGATATCAGGAAGAAATTCTTTACTCTAGGGGCCCCGGTTGCCCAGAGAAGCTGTGGCTGCCCCATCCCTGGAGGTGTTCAAGGCCAGGTTGGATGGGACTTGGAGCAACCTGGTCTGGTGGGAGGTGTCCCTGCCCATGGCAGTGGGTGGAACTGGATGATCCTTAAGGTCCCTTCCAACCTAAAGCGTTCTACAATTCTATGATTCTATTTGTTGTGTTGGGTTTAAGCCTCGGGGCCTCAGTGTCTCAGAACAGCTTGCCAGTTGCTAGCAAGATCTTCGTCAGGGAGGAGAGCATAAAGCATCCCTTCAGGCTATGCTTTGGGGCTTGCACATTGCCTGCATTGCCTGCCTAGACTTGACAAGAGCATCCTTTCCCTGACAGCATGTTCCAGAGCGGGTGGCAATAGGCAAACAGCCGTGAACGTGACAAGACTACATACGATTCAGCACAGACAAAGGTTTTATCTTCTGAGTTGAGGCTGGCCCCTGCGCATAGGAATGATCCAAACACCCTGATGCTTGGAGAGCATATCATGCAGGGACCTGGTGCCTCACTTTTCACAACCAATTCTACTCTCTGAGGGTTCAACATCTCTATGCAGATCACCTCCTTCCTTTCATAAGCAATTACCGAGCCTTTCACCTACATCCTTATATTCAGAAAATGAATTTATTAATTTCAGCCAAATATTAACAATTGAGGGGTGGCTTCTTCCCCATTCTCTGTGCTGCCTCCACAGATGGCTGGAGGCACCAAAAGGCAAGGTGGAGATGAGATACTGAAAGGGCACTGATGTCTCACCTCACCCCTGAGTAACTATCGCCCAGTCTCATCTTAAGATTAAGGAAAAAATAGATAAGGGCAAAGGAAAGTCACAGGAACCACTGAGCATTTGCTAAATGGAAATAACAACTAACTTGAAGCAACAACTATCTCATGGGGTTACAGAGAAGGCAGAGCCAGACCCTTCTCAGTGGTGCACAGCAACAGGATGAGAGGCAGCAGTCCCAAGCTGCAGCAGGGGAAATCCCAACCCAACACAAGAAAAGGTCGACACTGAGGGTGGCAGAGCAGCTCACACAGAGAGGCTGCGGAATCCCCATCCCTGTGTATATTTAAAACTCGCCAGGGCAATGCCCTGAACAACCCGGTCAAACCTCGCGGCTGGCTGTGCTGTGGGCAGGCGGCTGCACTTTGCGACTTCCCCTCCACCTGCTGTTGTTCTGCAGTACTTCAGATAAGAACCACTGAAAAACAGTTGCGCGTGTAAGGGGAAGACAAGAAATACCATCCTCTCTCTGTGATACTACTTCCCTGCCATTTCTGCATTTCCCCTCACCCTACCTGTGGCCAAATGCAAATGAATCACAAAGAAGTAGAGCCAAGACAGTAATGACTTATCAATATTTTGGAGAAGTAACAGCTGTATAAAACTATGAAACTCAAATAATTTCAAGTACAAACCCAGTATTTCCCTTCCATTTTTGAATCCGACCTGGAAACAAGAAATAATTTTGCTGAGTTCAAGTTCACGTGACCACCAGTCCCCTCCAAGCTTTCTTTCGTATTCCATTTCAGTTCTTCCAGCCTGTTTCCACATGTAGAGCAGCCCTTCTGCACGACCTCTGTCATTTCTCTCCCTGTCTCGCTCTCATTGGCACAACTATGGGAGGTGCAGCTCTCTAGAGCCATCTAGGGAACGCCATCAGGGCATTTGGGTTGGTCAGCTGCAAATAACGGTCCAATATCTTATAGAATAAAGTTTCACACAATTCAGGTAAGGTCACGAGCACAAAAAGCGCTGATCTCCTTCCTAAGTTACTGCTGGGGGTGCGCCGCTGCA